TCTGCAGTGCTGGAGTGTGGTACAACCCAGAGACCAGAATTTGTGCATGCCCTCCAAGGAGGCTGAGTGGGAGTCTCAGCACACTACAGAAACTGGCAATCGCCAAAGAATACCACTGGCATTAGTGAAAGAATTCTGAATTTTGAGGTAATGGCAAGAGCAAAACACAACCTTTTCTCATACTATTTTTGTGTTGCTTCATGTCAAATTCTACCCAAGTTTTACAAAAAAAAAAAAAATTTAAAAAAAATCTAGTGGTTTTAATCAATTATCACTAGTTGCACATTGATGGAGACTATGTTTTTGTTATTTTACGTTCCATAATTGAGAATCTACAAATGCTTGTTTACTTGCAACAACTTAATTCCCTCCCTCTCACATTTACGCTGCATAAGATGTCACTATGTAACCCATGTTGTTAGCTGCAGAAGCACAGATTAATTTAACAAAGGCAGCATCCATCCCAACACATCTCCAAGAAGTAAAAGGAAATATACAGTCCTCTTTTAATGAGAAAACTTCAGTGTGTTACAATGTCTTAAAACTAAAAAGAAATCTGTATGGAAAAATTATAATTGGTAGTGGGTCCCATATAGCCAAATTACGGCTCCAATCCAATCACTAAATTGCCATATGCTCTGTTCGAAGCAATCAGCCAGTTCCCTACCACAACGCTCCCGAAATAACTGTGCTTTAAAATTACCCAGCTGGGCATTTAAAAATGTTCTGTAAAGGTCTAGTGCCATCCATTTGGTGGAAAAGGACATCACATCATCACAGTCCTTGCAATTTCATCCAATTTTTATTTCTGAGACCAAGTGTTGAAAGATAGTAATGAATGCACTCATAAAACGACTCTGAAAATGTGAATAATTGCAAAGTAGCATTGAAGATACTTATAGAAAACACTAATGGAACTGAGAGAAAAATCACACATCCTCAGGTTTGTCCCCCAGTTTACTTGTTTTAAGACAAAAGTCTGTAATACGCATAAAATGGACTCATACTATTAGACAACATTGACTTTCCAGTCTCAAACTGGGATCAGTATTCATTGCTTGAAATGAACGTGCTCTTCTGTTGGGGAATTAAAAAGGTGGCCACAAACAGTAACAGACACACACAACTGTTCTCATGGGTTTCTTACACCAAGCAGAGCCCAGCTTTGCCTTGCTCTCACTGCACTCATGATCTCTGTCTTGGTCACTGGAGGGAGAGTGGCAGCCTTCAAACCAGGCAGCAAATAGCTCACATTGTACCCTGAGGTGTTCAGAGGAGCCTGCATCTTCCAGTAGCTGTATAAGGACCAGTAGGTATACCACACCAGCTGAAAAGGACTTCTGCTACAGATTAAACGTCTGTATAGCCTTTCATCACTTCTTTAAAAAAAAAAAATAAAACAACTTTGTTTTCTTTAAACCAGTACCACATCCTTGATACTTTAAATACAACAGGGGGGAAAAAAATATTATCTGCACTTAAAAATATCCCAGTGAAAGAAAACCAGTTAAAGGCTTTCTCCTTTACTCCAAACACACAGAAAACAAAAATCCCCTCAAATGCTATAATTTTCATCACATAATTCAAGAAATTCATTCAACATATTCTCTACCTAGTTACTAAAAAAGTGACTGGAGAGTGCGGTAAGAACTCAGGAAAATCTGGCTGGATTAATTAAATCCCTGTTTTTCATAAGGAGAAGTTACTCTTCCATACTTCAAATTTAAAAATTCCCAGTATCAAATCCCTTCGGTCACAGTATGGACTTTGCAACGTATTTCAAAACACACTCCTCTGAACTTTGCAGAAAAAAAAAATCAGTCCATGCACTGCATGTAGTTAGCACTGTATCTGACAAGAGTCTATAGTACATTTGCCTATGCAAATGTAACCTCTGAAAATATTATGCACGCTGGAGTTTATCAGGTGCCTTAGATTTGGCCTACTTAAACAAAACTCAGAAAGGCACGCCAAGACAAAGCAGAAAGCTTGGATCATTCTCCTCTTCAGGTCTAGTTAATAGGATTGTTTTGTTTTGTTTTTTCTTAAGAAAACAACAAAGTGAAAATGTTTAACTCTCATGACATGTGGGCTATGTATGGTTTTCCTATTGGCATGGATAACACTACTATTCGCATTTGCTATTCAATTAACACATTATTTTAAGTGCAACTTGCCACCTCTGCACCCAAGGAGATGATGAAGATGAAAGGCATTTCTCAGTTTTAGCGAGGATGGGAATACTCTGGGTCAGGTGGAAAAAAGCATTGTTTTTCTCCCAAAGTCAGGTCACAGGGTATAGTTCAGCTGTTCACTGGTACAAGATTTTACATCAGCAACAAAAGTAATTCTTAACACTAAAATAATTCTTAAGGTATTATTATATAAATTAATGTGAATTAGTAATTAATTGTTTCAACCTGAGATTTTAATTTTTCACCCATCAATACAGAAAATCTCTTGGCAGCTCTGGAGACTGTGTGAAAATTAAATCTTTTGTTTAATTATAAATTGGTTTTGCTGTAATAGTGCAGACTTTAATTGAAATATTTTAATTAAGTGCTTGAAGCAATACGATGCTGTCTTTTTTTGCTGGATACTAGCTCATCTAACAGTCTGGAGTTTCACATTTACTTTCCTCCCATGCTGAACATACATCTTGCTATATAACTAGTTGTAACTACTGTTTCTGTCTGGATAATGGCATATAAAAAGACAAACAAATGCATCCAACTACACACCTTAGTCCACATTAATAATTTGGTTTGCCTGAGGAATAAAAAATGGTGGTTAGGACTGTTTAAAAATAATTAAAGTGAAAGATAATAGCTGCAGAATCTAGTTCCAAGTGTATTGTGATCGCCACAGATATACTTCCTACCTTCTGGCAACCCTCGTCCAAGGCTCAAGTAGCAGACGGGGCTATCACATTGCTCTCCAATGTATGACCAGACTATGGCAAAACATAAGCTTCAGCAGGAAATGCTTTCTTCTCCAGTCAGGATATTAAAATTAAAAACATTTGGAGGACGTATAAATAGCACTATCAACACTATTAAGACATGATGAATGGGGTGGGGAAGAGGGCAGTCAATTGCTTTCGAACAGACTAATTTCCACATTTGAATGTTTCAGAAACAATATGATCTGTCTCTGGGGCCCCTTCTGATGACACTAAGAAATGAAGAAATGAAATCTAAAAAGAACAGAGGAAAATGAGAACAGCAGCAGCAGAATTTCATACTTGTAAAACAATGTTTATCCCCAAATTCTGAAGCTTTCTGGAAAGAAGGGTGAGGCACGTGCTATCATCTTGAAAAAATGGTCAAGAATAGCAGAACAGTAATACTGATCACTTATACCAAATTTATCTCCAAACATCTGCATGGCTGCCTTGAGTGCCAGGTTATAAAACAGTTTATCTTTTATCAGCATTGGGTAAAACACCCAAGCCATCTAAGCTTTCAAACAGTAACAACTACTGGAATGGCAATATGGCAAATGAATGGAAAACATTTATACTTAATTGCAGATCACACCAAAAGCAGTTATTTGCAAGGAAACCACGTGAGAAACAGAAGAGGCAGTGAAGTAGTTATAAATGTAAAATATTTAAATATATTCATGGGCTAACAAGATTTCTGGGAAAGAACTTTCCATGCATTGCAATGACAGGAAGATACTGTTATTTAAAAAAAGCGCCCTCTTCCTCTCTATTAAAGAGTGCCCTCATTGATCAAATAGCCTAAGATCAAACAACAGATAACTACAACAAAGTTCCGCTGTATTTGTCAGTAGATTAATTAAATTATACAAGAACATACTGATTCACACAACATATCTTGCCTCCAGCAGAAAACACTCAGGAAGAAAAAGAAGGACAAGTACTTAGCACAATTATGTAAAAAAGACAGATAAAATGTCATTTCAGAAAACAACTAATGGCTGGGTCAAGTAACTTGGTAGAGTAATGCTTCAAAATGCAAGGGTGGAGCACTGCAGGGTGTTTCTTGCCCTGTTTCCCTCAGATTCATGTTCTGTACTGGCTAGTACAATTCATTCTGACTGTCTGAAGGAGAAAAGCCTGCCAACTAATTTCTCTTCCTTGTCTTCTAAGATTAACAGAGGAAATGAGCGGGTCTAGCCTTCAAAATCCACCTTCTCCAGTTTCCCTTTCTCCTATCTGAAGTGCATAACAAAGCTGTTAGGAGAACACATGTTATTGTAAAAACATATTTCATTCTTCTAAAATTTCTGAGTCAAGAACATGGCCAAAATTGTGCCTGAAAGCTATAGAGGGTTGGCAGGGTACAAATTTCAGGAAAATTAAGAAATTCTCAGCTGGCAGAGATCACTTTAGCTCCTATAATCCACATAGCTATGCTGATCCACACCAGCTGAAAATCTGAACCTTCTTTTGTGTTGTGCTATTTTTAAGTAGCTAAACTTCAGCCTTGAGTACAATTGTTCAGCCCTGTGACGCAGTCCTGAAAGACAAGTACAGTGGAAGTTAAAAAAAAAAAAAAAAAAGCCATCACCAACGTGCTGCAGTCACTCACCAAGTCTTTCGCGTGTCCATCAATTCTTATTAATGCTCTTAAATTACCTGCAGCTGTCCCTGAATCTCCATTGGGAGTTACAGTGATACACAATAAACCCACAAAAGTGGAACAATCTCTGCTTTTAACATTCCCTCCTGTTCAGATTGCTTATGCCACCTGCGTTTTCTATTAGTCACTCTGGTGGCCTGTAATGTTATCACTCTGTGAGGGCAAGACATAACCCTGGCTTTTGTGTCATGTTATCCACCCTCTTCTTTGATCAGTAACTCTCCCCAAGAAAATGAACTGCAATATCTCTTCCCATCAAGAAATTCTCTTGGTCTCCATGGTGAGAAAAAATCCCCTGGCATCACCTAGCTCTATTAAATCATACAAAAGCAAGCTTTAGGAACAAAACTGGGTCTGTCAGATAGCTGATGTCATCTCTCAGACACTCACCAGGGTGACAATGGCACATTCAGCAGTCAGTTGAGCAGCACTGAACAACGTCCGAACAAAGCGGTAAATCTGTTTCTGCTCTGGATCATGTTTGTCATAATCTGGTGGCACTTCGGATTTCTAAGGAAGAAATACTTCCAAATAGGTGACTGAAACAAAACGAAGCAGACAGAAAGACAGTTCACATGAAAAAGAAGAAGAGATAAATGAACTTACCGAAAGGGGATGAAGGTTTTCATCAAAAATATCTAAGAGCATTCTTCCATCTGTGTCCCTAAAAAGTATTAAAACCAAAGTAGTGTCATTATCTGAATGTAATAACATGCAGCTGTCACAGATGCAAGCAGATCATTAAAGCTCTAATACTCCTTATGCTGTAGTGCGCTTAGAAACACTGCAGAAATGTGACTCTCACATAGGAGTTGGATATATTCTACCATAAAGTTCACGTGCAATATGAAATCCATATTACAAACTATGCTAAAATTTTCAAATTTAAACGCTCAGGACATACAACTTTTCTGCCCACTACCGTGAGGCTTTTTCACAGCCTAAGATGTACCACGATGAACTTCTAATATATTAAAACCAGCTCAGCTTACTCTGTTTTTCTTAACTTCGTGACAATCCTTGAAATCTCTTCCTTTAGCTAATTTCTCCTCCTCCATTATTTTCAAAGTCATGACATTTACAAATATTTGTATCTTTTACAGTTATCCTTTTTTTTAATATATACATACATCACTTTTTATTTCTTTTGAAAACCCAATACCATTAACAAATTCTGAAAGCAAAAAAGAACATATAAAAAAATCAGACAAAATATTTCTATTCACGGATCTTAATTCACTATATTTCTCTCATCCCTGTTGTTCAAGATCAGCATGAAAGTTGATGCAACTTCACAAGCCTAACATCCAGGATGCAATTTAAGACTTCTGTGTGTAATCTTATCAGGAATATTAACCATCACAAAAGCGAGTGGTGTAACAGTGCCAGTTAGAACCGAACACTTTTTGGACAGATGCATCCATGTGACTTTCTTACTACAATACCATCTTTATATATTCCATCCCTGGTGCTCTGGTCAGAGAGGTCTTAAGAGAGAAACCACTGAATGTTTTTTGTCTTTACTCAACACGTGTCTCACAGAGCATGCAAACACGAGTTTTACAGGAGACTAATGTCTAAAAAATGTGCTTATTGGTAGATAACATTTAAACCTCAACATCTAAAGTTGATTTCTTTTCTGCTATAAAGCCTGTTCACACTGGAAATCAATACTTTTTTTTTTTAAAGGAGTAGTTTAAAACGAACTAACAGATTGAGATAATTACTTCAAAATGCCTAATCAGCAAGGATTTTAGGCCAGATATCTACCCCAACAAAAAAGTTGGTATTTTAATGCAGAAGTGGTCTCACTGGAATCATTGCTGTGTTAACATAAGCTGTGGCCCTTCACAATGAGAAGAGGGAAAGAAAAAATTATTTTTCTATTTCTTCATGCTGTGTGCTATGAAGGCACATTTGATTGCCATAAAAAAGCCTACACTGAAAAAGAGTTGATAGGCTTTTGTCCTCACTAAAATAAAGTTGTACTGTTGTCTTTCAAAAAGGAATTGTCTACTAATTGATCTAAGCATTTTTCATGGTTGGTTTGCTTTAATTTTGGTTATTTATTTTGTTCAGCAAATTCGCCAACACTCGTGCATTCCTTCAAAAGCAAGATAGGTGTAAGCCTCCTACCACCTGTAAGACAGCTAAATGCAACAAAAGCTGGAAAAATTCAACAGAACAATGAGAGGAGACATTGGGAAAACTAGGAATAATTAGAATGTCACAATCAAACAAAATGTGGGGAACATATGAAACATATTAGGTACTCTGAAAAGTGACATCTGGGATTGGTGAGAGTCTGGAACACTAGAAAATAGTTTTCTTTTAAACTAAGCATAGAGGAGAAAGAGGACAGATAATTGTTGTCTGAAAAGAACTCTTCTCAGGTAGAGCTTGACTCGTTTTCTGTCAAAACCAACTTTAAGCCTACCCAGGAGCTGCAGTGGTTTCTTACTCCCCAGCCCCCATAACGAACCCGACTCTACCGCATACGTCAACAACTTCCTTTCCCCCTATAATGGCAGGAAACAGAACATATGTTTGGCTGTTGCCATTTCAGCAGCAAACACAACCAAGAGCTGTTATCACGTTGTTCCCTCCGTTCCTAAATCAGAGACAAGCAAAGGGAGAGCAGTCATTTCACATCCTTCGTTTCAGAGCCGCTAATTGATGCACACAGGCCTGAGATTGTCTGTAGGGAGTGCAGCAGAGGGCGCGGTTACAACGCATCTCACTGCCCTGGGGAACTCGAGGAGGGACAAGCAGCAAGCAGTTCATAGTGAATAAATCACCTTTCCACCCCCAAAGAGAACGGACAGATACCAAGTTTCCCAAGAAGATAACAATCAGAATGTATTTGTTTTCCAGTCACTGACACAGGGCCCTTTCATTTATAAATGTTTAGCCTCTAATAGCTGCAGGTCAAGCTTGCATTGAGTTCTGTAATAAAACTATGAATGCGCATATTTTACTGTCGTCAGAAATCAGTTTCATGGCAATCTGAAGGGATTCAGCTTCCTTTGGCTCTGGATTTCCTCCTGGATACTGTGAGCCCTTACTGAAGTTTCTCACCCGCACGTGGTTCCTGAAGTGCCCCCATTCTGCTGAGCTCCTCACCCAGCTGGCGTAATGTTTAACTGAGCACTTAGGATATTTTTGTTCCACAAAACTTTAGGATCTGACTATCTTTGGGATGGATCTCTATTAGTCAGTCAAGCATAGTTACAATCGACTAGCTGGCCAAACTAACCCAGAGATGATGGAAGCAAAGGGGAAGAAGGGAACCACAGACAGATAAACAAGTAAACCAAGCATGATCGATCATTAATGGTTCATTTCCTAGGAAATTAGATTAAAAGTTAGCAAAAGTATTTCACTCTAACTTTTGCTTTACATACTGCTATGTTTAATCTTGGAAAGTCTTCTAAGAGTTTTCATCAGGGATCGAGCCCTAAACCTTTCTGCCTTTGTGCACTTTTACATGTTTCTCTCTTCAGATGCCAGCCTTGTTTCAACACGTGTAATGAGTTCCAGTGACCTGAAACATGGTCCCAAATGATGTACCAGCTTAACTTAAATTTATGAGTACTTCCCTTTGTTCTAGTTGGACTTCTTACAGTCCTGAAGAAAAAAATTAGACGTAAGTTGGTTTGTTAGATCGAGATCTAAGCTGGCTAAGTTCTCTGAAAAGACACTGAAAAGCTATGGACGCATAAGTAATTTGAGGTATTTATACAAATCTCTTAAAAATTTCAGGCAATATTATTTGATGATACTGTGACATATTACATCATGACAACATGTAATTTAAGAAACAGAAGTGCAACTTAACAACAACCTGAATTCATGCACCAAGTTACTTTTTTTAGAGAACCTGTTTTAGTGTTAACAGTCAACCTGGCTGAGCATAGATCTAAAGCATACTACAGCAGGAGTGTTGAGACAGGACTTGCTCTGCTTCTGCGATGTCCTGAATTACGTTTATTGACAATGTCAATCTTACTATATAATTAAGGGCTTGTACTTAAAAATCCACTAAGTGATTGTTGACTTACATAGTCAATTTTACAAGGGTGTAGCCTAAAAAAATAAATCTGAAAGACACTATGCAGATTTCTTCTAAATCCATTTGAGACATATGCGTAATACAGAAGTGCCCAGAGCATATAAAGCCAAATACTGAATCAAAGCTTTTCAATGCTGAACTGTATTTGCACATTTTTATGATACATAATCTTCTGATTTTTATTCTTTTAAGTAAAATAATACATCTATATAGGAGAATACATCTCTTTTTTCTAACATTGGAGATAAGAAAAAATACTACCCAAAAGCATTTTCAAAGAACCAAATCACAGATTTTTAGGGTTTCAACAGTTAATTTGTTTTGATTAAAGAGATCTTCCATACAAGACTTCATTATTCACAAACTTCATTATTCACATACCTGTTTTTGATGTGGTAATATATTGCAAGAGCTACACTGTAAAGAAAAATATAGAGTTAACATCTCAGGATTGTCATATTGTCATATTAACATCTCAGGATGTCATATTAACATCCAAATTTAAAACTTAGCAGAACACACGACAAAAAAATATGCTCAATAGCCTACTTTCTTCTGTTTATTATTAGATGCCAGGTAAAACACTGTAAATAGGTCATCTGAGAATATTTGTTCAGCACACTCAAGTGCCTCCTTCCTACTAGTAACAAAGTACCTTCCACAAATACTCATACTCCATATACCAAGTCACACATGCCTTCCATTTAAAGCCCACATCCACTAAAGTAAATAACAAATCTCCTCTTGACATCCAAGGTTGAAGATAAGTGACACAAGTGTTGGATATTCACTCTGATTGTCCAATAATGCTGCAACGCTAACTTGAAACATGTTAATCACCCTTGGCTTATGATTTTATATTTAAATCCACAAATTTCTGATTCTTTCTATGTAGTTACTCACATAGGAGACTCAAATACAAGGCTCTAACATTTTTATGGCATCAAGTTACTTATTTTAACTTAGGAAAGATACTTCCCTAAATAAGTTACTGCATTGTGCATTTCCCATGCTCTTCCATCACAAACCTACATGTAAGTACATCTGTTTATATTCTGCACACACTGTCCATAGACACAGAAAATTAAAATTTTAATTACATATACAAATAACTAACTGATCCCATTCACTTCTGAGACTGAAGAAAACTAAGACTTAGCTTCTCATGCTTACTCTCGAGTTTCCAACTTGTGACTCCAGATTTATCAAAGGATACATGCTTTACTCAGGACGCAGCTTTGCTGAAGGATAAAGCAGGAACAGCACTCTTCCCACTTATTCTAACAGCACAAAACCCAGCAAAAACTACAGAGGAATGAGGAGCGAGTTCAGCGATTCTATTTGCTGACGGTTTGTTTTGTCAAATTCACTGTAAGTTTCTTATGTCTTACAATGATGTTAAATTCCCCTCACAAAAAGCCTTTTAAGAGAGTGAATCAGTCACTCTATATTTTTCTTCCAGAATTTTTACAAGAAAATCAACACACTGCATGTTAGGAAAGTTATATGTTGGAGCTACCAAGTTAGTAGAATTGTAATTGATTTTGGTATTTTTTAAAAACATTTTTTCTCAGTTGAAAATAAATGTATTTTACTGACTTTTTATAAGCACTATAGCTTTCACTGGGCTACATCAGCTTTTAGCTCAAACTTGCTTTTAAAACTGATTTTTTCTATAGATATATGCAATAAGTTAAAAAATACTGTGTACCCATGGACTTTTAAAAGACACAGCTCTCGCTGAACATAAAAAACAGATTTATGAATGAATTTAATTTGACTGAAAGCTATTCAGCGAATGGATTAGTCCCAAAATTTAATTTTAAATTATGCCCCCAGGAACATACTTGCAGCTCCAGTTCACTTTACGAAAGTGGATGCAAGAGCATACATGCAGAGCTCTGCTTGGTGCCCATATTGTTGCTGTTGTAACAAAATAACAAATTAAGTTTAGGAAAATATTTACTCTTTGGAAATCTATATCAGAATCTGAAGGTCTCTCAGAGCTGTAACAGATTAACTCAGCCCGATTTGTATTCTGCTTTTCACACACTGGTTCAGCTAGCATCCAAGGGGCTGTGACAGCGGTGCAGAGAGCAGCTTACGCAGCTTTCCATCGCCCTCCCCTGCCACCCCGCACGCTCTGAAGACCTCCAAGAGACATGCTAATATTTTAAACCCACCAGTGCATAACATGACCCAGAGGAAATAAATGAGCCAGCCAAAACGTAGCCCTTATAGATCTCCTTATGTGCAGCCGTCATTTGTCTGCAGCGACATCCAGGAGGGGGGCAGGAAATGAAGCTGTACTACAAAAACGATAATCCTGTGGTCTCCCAACCCTTAAATCTGCTACTTGTACAGCCAGACGGGAGGGAAGAGGAGGAAAATACTCAGAGGCCAGAGGCCAGTTTCTCACCCCACATAACCCCTTCTCTAAACTCTCCGACCCCGTGCAGCTGCCTGCCAGCCCCAGCCCTGCCGCTGCCCCTTTCCTCCCTCCTGACCCTCTGCTCTGCCCCCAGATGCCACCTCCTTGCCCCCAAGCTCCACACCCCAGGCTTGGGTTTCTGCCTCCCCTTTCATGGCTCTGTTGCTGCCCACCAACACCACGTCTCAGCTGCTGCCACAAGCCCAGCTCTTCTTTCCACGAATGGGCCCAGTTCCTGTGCTAAAAGGGTGCTGAAACTGGCCGTCACCCCAAGAGGCTGCACTTAAAAAAGCTGCATGCAAAGGATTATAGAGCAGAAAAGTATGAAAATCCCAGAGGGAAAAAAAATATCAAAACCTTAAAATCATTTTCCACAGCCCATCTGAATTATTTTTAAGTTACTCATTAGAGAAGCTTGAGGAAATGCAAGACTGTATTTCAGACAGAAATAGCTGATAAGGAATTAGGCATTGGTCTGCAAATCCTTTCTCCACTCCCCTCCCTTTTTTTTTTCTTAAACAGAATAATTGAGAATGTGTTTACTGACCGCCAACATTTCTCTCTCATGTAAATAACTTTATAACATAGATTTGGACTTCATAAATTTTTGCATTGGATTAGATTAAGAGCAAACAACTGAAGAGAGTGTATCTACAACCATAATAAACAGCATAAACAGTGACTACACATTCATTTTCTCATTTTTCCCTTCGCTTTACAAAGCGTAAAGATCAATACTTTATACACATCAATTTTGTTTCTCTCTAAACGGACACAGGCAGCAGTGAAACCTGAAATGAACATCTGAGATGTCACCCAAGTATAAGCCCATGTAGACACCACAGACAAAGCTCCCCACTGCTGTGCAATAAAGTGTTGGTGTCTCTGTACTCAATAAGGAAATAAATCTGGAGGCAATTCATTCTCATTTCAAACAGAAAATTGAAGAAAAGCTTAGCAAATGAACATTTTCTCATGAACTGAAAAAAAGCTCTTCAATTTCAGCAGATTTCAGATCTTTAGCGAATTCTGAAGTAAGTACTCAAGTAACCTTCTGAGGACTTATCCAAAGTGCACAGTTGAACATGGAATAACAAAGATTTCAGCTTATAGAGTTTGAGAGACTTAATTGCTGCTTGCTTGGGAGATATACAGTATTGGGAGTTTGATTACACACAAACCTAAAATCAGAGAAATATCCTTTGCTCATTCTATTCATTGCATCTTGAGCATGATTGGATTAAAAAGACTTACTGCTTCAAAAACTAAGCCCCTTGTGAAGATTGCTTAGTAATGGTTCAGATGTGTACACATATGTAATACATAATGTAGTTTCAAGTTAAAAAATACACAAAATTATTGAACCCACCATTTGATGGTATACTTGAGGTTTGGTTGACTGACTGTGCTGTCATCCAGGAAAATAGTGGAGCAGGAACTGTACTTCCTTCTCAACTGCCCAGGAGGATGCTATGAAAAACATGCAAAAGAACAATAGCAATTATGTAACACCAAAACATTTTTCTGAGGAGATGTAAGAATTTAGAGAAAACAAATTTTTCCGTCTCTCACAATGACGCACACAGTAATGTGATCATGTTTTGAAGCAGTTCAGAAAGTTCAGAAATAATTACTAGTGCAGAAGTCACAATTCCTGCCTGAGCCTTGCCTAACGCTTTCTTCAAGTCCCAATCTCTCCTCCTTCCCTCTTCCCCAAAATGCCATGCAAAATCTTTATGCAGAATTACTCAAATCAAATACACAGATTTGGAAATAAAATATGTACAAGATCTATGTTCCTGTCCTCATTACAAAAGAACAAGTGGAAGAGTGAAAAAGATACCACATTAAAGACTGATTTAGAAACAGATGCAAAATGATGCTTAAAGAAAATTAAAAAAAAAAAAAAAAAGCAAAACAAGCCAAACAAAAATAGGATGAAATAGGGGAAAGAGGTCTTTACAGTGAAATTACTAACAGCTTTAAAAATTAATAGGGAAAACTCAGAAAAATCAGTTCATTAAAATAGAGTGTTATAGACAGGAAGAAAATTGATCTACAGAAGTAAGAGAAAGTACATATGCAAATAAAAATAGATTACATATCTCAATAGAAAAAGTTTTCAAGAAATTTCAATTCTATTTCTGCACTACTGAAAAAAAAAACACATTGGAAAACACAGCAACAAAATGACATTTGACAATACTGCTTATTTCAGAGGATTTTTTTGTTGAGAGGGTTTCTCCTTCAGCTGTTTAGAGCAGCCAGAACTCCACCAGTCTAAAGAGAACAGTTTAATCGTACCAGCTAATAGCTCTCACAGTCCTTAATGCTCTTTGATTTCATCCTTGGTTATTCTACCTCCACTACTGAATAACTTGACCAAGAAGAGCCTGTATCAGTGAAGTTAAGGCACCTCAAATTACACATTGAACTTACAGCAGGATACATTTAAAATGCAGCTGGCACACTCACACAAAGTTTTTAATTTGCCTTACAATGAATGTTGTTTCAGCAGAGTCCAATGTCAGTACCACCACCAGTGGAAGCCACAGAGATCTACCAGCTCACCACAATCTAGGCTCTTCTGACTCCCATCTCAGTACATCTTCCCCTGCCTAATCTCCCAAACAGATATTATTAAAAGTGCCAGCACTCCATCATCTCCCTAATGTTTCGTGTTCCATTAGTTACAGACTTGTTAGCATTCATTAGATACAGAAGAGACAAGACTCCTGGTAAAACCCACATGCAGTCTGAGTCATCCTTCTTTTTATTTTTCCCAGCTACGAGCAAAAGAGCATTCAAAGTCTTCCACCAGTTGAAAAAAATATTTCTGATGAAGCTGTTACAATAGTAGGAACATTATGCTAAAATGATTCCAAAATTCACCAAGAAATTCTATGAAGATCCACAACTTGATAATCTGTAGGCTGAGCTGCTTTCCTTAGGCTACAAAAGCTTAGTGGAAAAAAATGAAAGAGATTTTGTCCCCTCAAAAATTCTTCAAGAGTTTGGAAAGGTACTTTGTAATGCTTTGGAAGCTCACAATCCATTTACCTTCCAACCTATTACGTGCTAAGCAAGGCAACAGAAACTAGAAAATTTAAAGCACTGGAGGTGTTAATGCCAACTAATGCATCATCCAGCACTGATGTATATGGAGAAAGTGACCAGGGCTCTGGTGATTTATAGTTTTTATTCTACCACAGTGTGGTTCATATTTCTGGGTTAGTACCTTCCACAGGTATGATAAAAACTTAAAAAACACTGAAAATGAGACTGCTTAGTGGTCTGGAAGGGTGGGAGGTACAGATACATCGACATCATAAAAAAAAGCACATGGAAAGTTCTAATTCTACATTAAACGTCTATGCTTTAAAGGTTGAGATGGAATTTAAGATAAACAGACTTGACCCATTTGAAGCAAGCATGAGTAAAAACAGAAAACAACTCTGCAGCAACACCACTGTCAGATTTAAATTTTCTTACGCAAACAGAACTTGAATATTTGATGCGTGTCGATAATTAAAGCCACACAGCTTTTTTTCTGAAGCTACCACATCACAGAGCTCCCCACAGTTGCTAGGCTTAGAACTTTTCACACCTCAGAGAAATATGTGGTGTCTCATGCCTCGCTTTCCATTCGTAATGCCTTGGCAGTACGGGGTACCTCTCCCAGCCTGAAAAGTGGTGCCAAGCGTAAGCTTCCTCCCTTGGACATCCACACACACTTGGGCCCTGTGAATAACCAACCCATCGACAGAGCAACATTCCCAGCTTTACTCTAAGCTTCCAAGCCTCTACTCTTACGTAGCCATACGTTAAGACAGATAACATTTCCTGCCTTTTCCAAATCCCTGGAAAACACCCCCAGTTTCGTATTCTAGCTTGACTAAGCTGGAAGAAATCCATGGTCACACAGTCCAGGCAAGTAAGCTTTTCTGAGCCTCCATCAAATGCTGCAGGTGAACCTTCTCCATTCTTGCAAATTATTAAAAGTTTACTGAGCATCACCTCAGTATCCAGCACTGTCCTATACAGACACCCCACTTCCACGTCCATTTCAATGTCCTCCCACATCATACATGAGCTTAATGCCTTCACATTTCAAATGCATCATGCCTGCCCACATCATCTTCCATTTAGCAAGGTCAGAGAGGCTCTAAGAGAGAAAAAATGGAAGAGCTGAGACACAATATAGAACCTTCGAAGAAATTAGCCAAACCCTCTAACATTAAACCTACTACAGAAACTACTTGGAAAACTGTACTCTGCTTACCCAAGGATCATGTTCAGGTCGGAAGGCTGAGGGAGAATCCACAGAGGTCTCGCTTACTCAGCATTAAATATTGAGCAATAACTTTGATAACAGAATCAAAGTATTCTCTACTGAATTTACAGATGGCATTAACTTGGAGGACTACATATGTATTAGAAAACAGGGTTATAATCCTGAGCAATCTTGACTAACTTGAGAAGTGGTCTGCACAAAAATATAGCCCTGCAATCCATTAAGAACAGATGCAAGGCTATACGCTTTAGAGCAGAACCATCTGTCTAAATATGATATGGCTGTTGAGGCTGTTATATATAAACTGTTGAGGCTTTCATCAGATGAAAAAAGGATGAGTAGATCAAGCATATCACATGACAACAAATATTCTCTTTTATAAAAAACAAAGAAAAATATCACGCAGGAGTTATAAATAGCGCTACCATGTGTGCAACAGGATGGAGCACCCTTTCACTTGGCTCAGATGGAATACCACGTCCAGTTTTGACCACTGTATTTCAAGAAAGACTAATTTCTTTGATGATGAAAGATGAATCAACAGGAGAGAACATCGAGATTAATCGGAGGTTTGAAAAACTTGATTTAGAAGAAGAGACTGGAAAACAGAATAGTTTATTCTAAGAACAAAACAACAATGACCTCTATGTCATATTGAAGTGATTTTCAAAGAAGAGAACATTGTTCTCCACTTCCATTGATAAAGGCATAAGAAAGAGAAGGCTTATATTCAACTAGGGAAAATTCAGATTGGACACAAAAGGGTGAGAGGACATAATGGCAAGAAAACAAATTAAAAAAAAATCCGTTTTTGAATGGCAGATATATCAAAATTCTGGCTTGAGTGACTTGAGCAGTTGCAGAATTTCCATCACTGAGAGTTGTAAAGAAGAGGTAAAGCAAACATGGCAGGAGTAGCTTAGCTGTGGGATTCAGCTCTGAGGCAAGAAATCAGACTGAAAAATCTCTTGAGATGAATTCGGGACCAATTTTCTATCATTCTGTGATCTCTTTTGGAAGTGAGATTTTTCTAGGTCTTTACTCCAGAAGCAGTTGTTGTTTCTCTCATTTCAACCAAAGATCATTAAGGAATGCTGACAATATAGGTTATGATGATAACATAACAGCTTTTATCTTGTGAAGTTTCTTTCTTTACAGAAAAAGATCTATAACGGAAAAAAATGCTGTTTTAACTTGCTATGTTTTTACACATGTTACAGAACAAGCTCTAGGAGATCAAGACCCGATGTACTTCCTTTAGCAGCAGCTGTCTCTAGCTCTTAAAAACAGCAGTTTGGCCCTCGTGCACAGCTAGTACAAAGGAAACATCACTGCTTGATTTCTTTTCCGAGCTTCATCCTAGAACTTTCCAACTTTCCAAATCATTTTTTTTGATTTTGTTTTGTTTGAACAATATGCTTTACTTGAATCTTACATGAAATGCATCTTATCGGTAATGCAATGGCTTAGTTTGCCTGGTTTTTGACTTTTCTTAGCAAAAAGCCAGAGAAATTAAGTCACAGAGTCATCTAGGTTGGAAGAGACCTCCAAGATCACTGAGTCCAACCTCTGACCTAACACTAACGAGTCCCCCACTAAACCATAAGTCAAAACCATACAAGCTCTGCTGAACTGTCTCTATGTTCCTGCTATGACAGAAATCACAAGACATTCCTAACTAATTCAGGTTGCCTATACACACGAGGATGACTGTCTTGCAGGCTTCATCTTCAAATCATTCAGAGATTAAACTTGAATTTGCAGGGACAGGGGAAGTGTTAACACTTGTTTTGATAAAAGACATTTCAGGGTGTCCTTGGGCAGAAATACGTAACAGAGAGGTGCCCACTGAGCAAAACCCACACACAGAGTTGACCAGAACTGAGAGAGGCCAGCCCGGTGCTGGATGCGCTTTAGCAGCCCTTGTGTGGCGCTCTGCCCTGCCGCTCAGCAGGGTTTGCTCACTGGGGCACAGCACTGCCCTAATGAAGCCATCCAGCTTTTATAGCAGAGCTGGCCTTGAGCCAGTCAGCTTCCAGTCTGGCAGAGGAGTTTGTCTCTTTCAGTGCTCTTTTCCACTTGTCCATCAAAAGATAATTTGCGGCTTCTGCCTTAAATAATAATGGTGCTGTCTCTTCGTCCATCACACCAGGTGTAAGTTACTGCACGATTGTAG